CCCCCCCCCCACATGCCGATAATATCGTGCATCCCTAATCATCAGTCGTGTTGAGCTGAAGTTGAAACAAGTCAACTTTATTTCTAAAGCACATTTGAAACAGACACTGATAATTTTGTTGGCACGTTTTTTACAATCTAACCTTCAAATGTCTGAATGTTTCTTACATTTATTGTTAACTTTAAGTTATTGCTGATATTTTTTAAAGCGTTTGTTAACCCTGACCATCTTGTTCTTTGTAATTTAAAAACATTTTCAATTAAATCTGAATGTTTTTAAATCCATCCATTCATCCACTCACTCTCTTTACCTGCCATTTCTTCCTCTTCGGGTCATGGGGCCACTGGTGCCACTGGTGCTACTGGTTCCAAAGTCCAGCAGTTGCTGTGTGAGAGGCGGGGGACACCCTGGACAGGTCTCCAGTCCATCACAGAGACAAACAACCATTCACCCTCTCACCTAGGGACCATTTAGAGTTACCAATCAGCCTAACATTAATTCATTAAATTAATTAAAAACAGGCGGCACAGAGGCTCAGTTGGTAGAGCTTTTGCCTCTCAGCAAGAAGGTTGCTGGTTCAAATCCTGTCTGGGAACCTTTCTGGGTGGAGTTTGCATGTTCTCTCCGAGCTGCGTGGGTTTTCTCCAGGTGCTCCAGTTTCCTCCCACAGACCAAAAACATGCATGTTAGACTGATGGTAACTCTAAATTGTCCCTAGGTGTGAAGGAGAATGTTTGTTTGTCTCTATGTGTCCCTGTGATGGACTGGAGATGGATGGATGGATGGATGAATGAATGAATGAATGAATGAATGAATGATAGGTAGATGAATGATGGGTAGATGAATGATGGATAGATGGATGGATGAATGAATGATGGGTAGATGAATGATGGATGGATGGATGAATGATGGATGGATGATGGATGGATGGATAAATGAATAATGGGTGGGTGATTGATGGATGAATGATAGATGGATGGATGATGGATGGATGAATGAATGATGGATGGATGAATGAATGATGGATGGATGAATGAATGATGGATGGATGGATGGATGATGGATGGATGGATGGATGGATGGATGGATGATGGATGGATGTTGTTAATTCCCATATGTCCAGATAACGATTGCATAATATTTTTGCAGCTTCTCATAAAAATGTTTATTAGAAAAATGAGAATTTGTTTTAATTTTAGAGCTATTTTTGACTCTGCCATTCAAATAAGTTGTTGTTGTTGTTGTTGTTGTTGTTGTTGTTGTTGTTGTTGTTGT